CCCGCGCCTCGCTCAGCCAGTGAGCGGGAACTGGTCTGTATGTGGGATCCGAACCCTCGGGCGGGAGCGCCGCCACGCTTCCCAAGCGGCGCACTTATCCAGTGCGCCACCGGGCCGGCCCTTGTTGATCTCTTCTCAGCAGTGTTTTGATGAAATTTCTTTATACTTTAAAATTTGAGCATTATATTAGCTATTTAATGGATGATACATGCTATTCTCTTCTACAATTAGTTATTCTGGTTTTATTTGAGCAGTTCGTAAAGGAACTACCACTTCTTTAGAAATCCCTGGTGTCTGTATATGTGCCATTAAACCCAAGTTAATGTAGGCATGATTATAGGACCCCGACTTCTAAGAGGCAAGAGAGTTTCTTAATGAGAAGCCCATGTACATTAGTTTAAGATATGTAATTGTTTTACTAATACCTTTGTCTTGTAAATCTTATACTTGTTTATTGTATATTGTAATTTAGTGGCCTTTTCTCGAGACAGGTTTAAATTGAAATTTGAATGTACACTAGATAATGAGAAGTTGCTGTGACTTACCCCACTGGCCCACCAGGCCTTATTAGTGTGCCATGGAGCAAAATTTAAGTGTCCTTACTACAGGCTGGTTTTGTTTTTGTTGTTCTTGATTTTGTGTTGAGTCTTGTTTATAGCCATTTAGTTAAGCTTGATATATAGATGAGTCCTATGTGGAAATGGGTCAGTTTGGGCATCGGTTTTGCCTTCTGTGGTTAGGTTCTCACATAGACCTACTATGAGTTGAGAGATAATGGTGAATTATTGTTCCAACTCATGCCAACTCACTGAGGTCTGCTAATAGAACTACCTGATTCCCAATCAGAAGGAGTTTGTCCTTTCTTTCTAAAGTCCCAAACCATAATTTGTTAGCATATTTGTCGTGCGCTTATGATACTCTTAAGATCTAATACTTCATATGGGCTAAAATTTTGGTTTCCAATTACATTCAGTGTAAATAGTAGAGTGCTTATTCAACTCATTTAAATAAAAGTTGATTGCAGATGTTTAAAAAATTTTTCTTGTGTTTTTGTGTTCTGCCTTAATTTACTCTTCATAGAATATTTGTATGACTCTAGCTTTAAGTGTATAGATTAGGCTTTAAAAAAAATTAATCGTAATGGCATTGATATTTTTCTCACACAGCACTACAAAATTCTTCAGAAATTATTTTTACTTAACTAACTCTAACCAATACGCACATTTCAGACCATCTCCCAATGACTTGTAGGTAGTATTTTATTAGAAAGTACTGTATATTCTCAGTCTTCAGGAGCTAAAGAGTGAATAGTTTAATGTAATCCTCAGTTTCTGTACTGGGGGGGGGATAAAAAGCTGGACCCTGTAAGAGGAAGGGCAAGAAGTCATACACATATTTTCGTACTTGTTTATTTAGTTTCCTGAGCTCATTGTGTCTTGTGAGTGGTTGGAAAGTTTAGGTAATGGGGGGAGGCAAAGGGAATATCAGTTATGAATGCATAAGCCCTTTTGCTTAATGGTGTAACAATAGGCAAAGAACAGCTCAGTTTCTTTCTTTCTTTTTTTTTTTCTTTTCTTCTTGGCACATAATTAGATTCTTTCTTGCCATAAATCTACTTTTGAACAAGGGAGAAGATGGATACCTGAATGGATGTGCAGGTGGGTATACAGGTGTTAGATGCTGTTCTTCTAATAGAGAATGACTGTGGCATTGACTGGGAACTATAAAAACATTTGATATCTTAATTTTTGTAAAATTTCCCAGAATCTGATTATAACTGCCAATGTAAAATCATTGGCAGTTGATGGAAATAGGAAATGATTCAAAAAAACTGTTAGATACAAAGTTTTATTTTAAAGATAACCTTGCTGGGGATATAGGAGAAAGCAAGAATTAAGACTCCCTAAAGCAGATAAGTATTTCACTTGCAAAGAGTGTGTGTCTGATACGTTGTATAAAATGAAAACTATTTTCTTGTATATCAGAATATATTTTTCAGTGTACATGAACAACTCAGTATGTAAAGAAACCATATAGTAATATCTTTTGGTAAAGTGAAGGATTGCTTTATGTCAGCTCCTTTTGATTTTGATATTTGGTTCTCTTCTTTTTTTGTAAGAATAGTAGAAAATGTAATTCCTTTGTGCTTAAGTTAAGCAGGGAAATTAATAAATGTTAGAAATTAATCCCTGAGAAACTTTTTTTAAAAGAAGGTCTTTTAAAAATCTTTCAGGGCTGGCCAGATAGCTCAGATGGTTACAGCACAGCATTGTAACACCAAAGTTATAGGTTTGGATCCCCATACCAGCCAGATGCCAAAACAAATGAAATAAAAAATAAAAATATACTTTCAGATAATGTTTCTCTCCATATGTCTGTAGATAGATAAATGGATAAGCAGGGATAATTAGGAATTTACAACTGATACACCAAAGTTATAGGTTTGGATCCCCATACCAGCCAGATGCCAAAACAAATGAAATAAAAAATTAAAATATACTTTCAGATAATGTTTCTCTCCATATGTCTGTAGATAGATAAATGGATAAGCAGGGATAATTAGGAATTTACAACTGATATGTAGTGGTTTGGACTTCAGATTATAAGGATTTCTTGTCTAATATTATTATAGTATATTGGGCTTTAATTCCTTTTACTAAGTATCCTGAGGATATGTAATTTGAGATTTGTATTATTTAAATTGGCTGTCAAATTTTATAACAATCTCCACGGACTGACTTTTATAAGCCTAAGAATTCTGCTGGGCCACATGGCTCTTGTTAGGAGTTGGACAAGGTCCTACATCCTTTGTATGATCAGTGTTGACCATAGAGAGCACCTGTAGAGTCTGCATCACCCCAGCATGCTGTCAGTAGGTTGGGAGAAGCAAACATGGTAATAGGGCATTTTGTCTGCACTTTACCTAAGATGTGCAGCTGGCACTCTGGGGGTGGTTTAACTCTTACTCCATAGTTGTAGCTGTCTGTGATGAAAAGGATGGGTTAGGATTCCACGTCAGAGATTAAGTGTTTCTACTTCCTGTTTGGGAGGTGTGGGTGGGGAACAGGTGAGTTGAGATACATAATGACGTAAAGAGACAGAGAGCCATACCCAGGCATTTGAAACCAACTATTAAATGAAGAAAAGTTTGCTTGATGAAGAATAGAAGTAATAAATGGTCTGACTTTAGGATGTTGGTTCTAGTATTCGAATGTAACCTGTAACTTTGGTAAGCTTTTAGCCACTTAATAAATCCACTAGGGTAAGTGAAAATTGAAAAGTCTTATGAGTAATATGTTCTTTATCATCATAAGTGAGCAGTTTTTTAGCATTTTGATATAGTTTAAGGTACTTTAGGTAGAATTACTAAATACATGTTGATTAAATCACAGAAAGGACGTAGTCTATATCATTATATAGTCCACTTTTAGAATATATCTTCAGTATGTTTTCCTGTATTCATAATTGTTGGTTCAATATTTTTAATTGGTTTTATGTAAACCAATTCCGTCATTTCTTACATGGTGGCTATGTTGTTAAAAAGTTTTGTGGCGTGCCATTTAAGAAAGTAAAAATGTCAAAGCTCTCAGATTTATGAGATGATAAGAAAAATATTTCTAGTCTATTATCTATTAATTTTTTTTCCCTAAGTAAATGATTTCCTTAGTATATATTTTAGGTTTAAAAATCAGGGTTTTTTTTGAAATATAGTATTTAAGGATCCTCTTTTAAAATTTGGATGTTAGCATAAGTATATTGATTATTTTTATATTTGAAGTGAAAGTGATATTTTTACAAATACAATAATCATATATAACTCAATTTATTAGCAAGCAAAAATCAGTTTAAGACAGCTTAATCAAATTAGTTTTGGTTCTGAAGTATGAAAGGAAATAAATATTTGGGAGTTTCCGTTAACGTGCCGGTACTTACAAATACAATAATCATATATAACTCAATTTATTAGCAAGCAAAAATCAGTTTAAGACAGTTTAATCAAATTAGTTTTGGTTCTGAAGTATGAAAGGAAATAAATATTTGGGAGTTTCCGTTAACGTGCCGGTATCACCAAGTGAGTAGTCCTGGTGTCCCCTGGATTTCAGTGGCAGTGTTTGTTAGATAGTGAATATTTGGAAGAGGGTATATGTGATAGCTTCTGCCCTCTTAGAATTCATATCTTCAAATGGCCTTGTCTCTGTCACTCTTATACACATAAAAATAGTATACGTTATTTATTACTTTTAAGATTGAAATTCTTTATCTTGTCCTATACTTTTATTTTACAGTTTTTCACATTTAGTAGACCTAACATGAATTATGGAAATTGAGAGTCCTTATTCAGCTTACTTATCCTGGAAAAGATTAATATGTGAGATGTGATATAGAAAGTCTTACAGATTATAAGTTAACAGTTAACAGAGGGGAATAGTGGTAAATATTAAGAGTCATGAGGATGAAAGTATTGACTAGTCCTCTTCAGTGTTTGCAGTTTTTCTCTATATGCCTCTCTGTAGTTTTTTCTTTTTCTTTTTTTTTTCATTTTTTTTCCTCATGTAGGATTGTTGGCCACTAATTTTTAAAAATTCAGACCTGTGTCTTTTCATGGGTGGAATGTCTTATTCTTAAGTGTTTGAGTAAGATCATATTGTATTATTGTATTAGGGCCACTGAAACAGAGGGAGAAGGAATACAGATGGCCTAATATTGGTGAAATACTGCTATCTTTAAGAACATTGATTTTTCATGAAGCTCATTTTTGCCAAGAGTTGAACTTTAAATTGGTGTTGCTTTTCTGTTTTAGCATCAAAGCTGGACGGCTCTTATCCTACATTCCGTATCAGCTATACACCAAGCAGTCCAGCGTGCAGAAAAGTCTTAACTTCAATCCTGTATGCAAACCTGAGGAGCCTGGGCCTGGTCCAAGCAATATAGCCAAACAGCTCAACAGCAGGGTGTAAGTTTGTCTACTTTGGGAATACTACAAAGCTGGTTTTTAGCAGTGAGTATGACCCCTGCTTTGCTGAAGATAAAAACAAATATAAAACCTGGCTATTCACCTATAATAAATATGTTGAAATATGTGCATGTAGATGTCTTACCTAAAAATTATTTTTATGATGAAAGTTTCATAAATAAACTGTAAACAGGTTTTTCAGTTGTACTAGATTCTCATGTTGTACTAATGGATCTTAAATAGTACATTTTTTCATGAATTTTCATGAAAATTATTTCCTCACAAGTAATTTGCTATCAAATGTTGCTTTGTCAAAAATCGAACCAACTGCACCAACTGTACTTTCGTTGTGTGCCATGCATAGAAAGAAAATTAAGGAAAATGTTAACATTTCTAGGTTACTTTTGAAAAATTCAAAATTTATAACTATAATTCCAAATGTGTAAATATTTTATGTCAATGGAAGTATAGTTGGTGACCCTTGGATATAGACTGGGGAGTGAATCTAGACTTATATTTCATGTGGCTGATTTTTAAAAAATATGTTGATTGAAGCTTTAATTGCAATAATCCTGGGTAAACCGGTTTCACAGTTAATTGGTATGTTGCCCTAACTTGTATATCAGGTGCTTCATTATCATTGGCCCTCTCCTTATTTATTAAATTGTTTGCTTTGGGAATTGGGTGTATTTTTTTCCAGAAGACCAGGAGTCCAATTAACCTGGGAGGATCTAGTGTGACTACCTTCTGTAATTTTTGTTGTTATCATTTGTTATTTAACTTATATTCACTTATTAGCATATTCAGATGTTTCTCACATTACCTAAAATTTTAAATTTTTTAATAAGTGTTTATGAAAACAAATAATATGAAAAAACATTTCCATAGAATATACAGCTTTGTCTTTTTTTTTAACCCACACTAATAAAAGTAGAAAAGAAATAATGTGATTTTTTTTAAGTTCTTCTTTGTGACAGTTTTAAGAAGAATTTACATAGTAGATTTTACTTCTGAGCACATTCATGCCATTGCCTAATAAATGTATGTCTGCTAGTGATGTTTCCACCTCATCTGCTTTGCAAATGTCCATTTGTCCAGGCTGAGGAACTATAGTACAGAGAGAATGTATGTTAATAATGTATTTTCTTGCCAATATGTGCATTTCTGTTGCATGTGTTTCTATTTACATATAAAGAATCTGTGTGTTGCTATTATACATATAAAGAATCTATGTTTTTGACACAAAACTAAATGTAAGACTTTCCTGACTTACGTCACTTTTGTTTTCTGTGATTTTTTTTTTTTGGTGTGTTCAGTACTGTATCAATTTCTTTGAAGTGCTCTTATGTAACTTTGCTTCCTTGCTTTCTCTTTATCTCACAGGGCAGACTTTCTCTGACATGAGACAGATTAGGGTTTTTTTCCTTCCTCTTTTAGTCATTTCCAATTTGTCTTCTTTTTTCTTTTCACTGGCGTGATCATCTGTGAGGATTAGGTCTACTTAGAGTTGGCTGTCATTCCGTGAGATAGTTGGGCAGTGCCCGGACCAGCCCAGAGTTTGCATCTGATTCGTGTGTGACTTTTCTGTGTAGTCAGACTGTCATTACTAATAATAAACCAAGTTGGTATTAGGACGAGGGATTTTAGACAAAGCCTTGGTAATGACTGCGGTAGTCTCACCTGTGCCCTGGTCCTATGTATGGCACCCCTTCATCTTGAGTACGAGTTTTAATTGTGTTAATGCTGTGGACATTTCCAAGTGGAATGAATTACTGGTCTGTAATTTGGATTTTGGTTCCTGTTACTTAGACAGTTTTCATGAATGCAAATGAATTACGTCTTTATTACAAAGCATTACGAAGCAAACGTCAAGAGAAGCCAGGATGTGAACTTAATTTTGGCACAGGTCCTGCATTTTATAAGCCTATTATCAGGAAACTTGGTCCAAATTACCATGGACCACTGTGGCATCTAAATATGCTTTTCTTAGAAATGAAATGTCATTTCCCTTGTCAACAGGGCAAGTGTCCTCATTTTTCTAGGTGTAAATTTTACTGAACTACCTCTACACATTGACCTGGTTCTTACTTTATATCTACTTGTGTAACAGTTGGCCCCATTAATAGGTTAATCAGTATAGTCTGTCAGTTTTTTTACTGAATGAAACTAACTGGCCTCAGAACTTTAATCCCATTGTAGCAGTATTGGATTTAATGTGGTGAGCAGTACTTTACATAATTCCTGTACTGGCCAGCTGCCCAAAAAACCCCCCAAACCAAAAGTGAAACTAGGAATGAGAATTCATATAAATTTTTAAATCCATTTTATGAAAGTTTCTCATATTTTAGTTCAAATATTTATTGACTGTAGTAAATGCCAAGCTCTGTGTTTCGGAAGTGGGTATTTAGAGCTTTCAGATTCTAATTAATTCATTGTGGGTAAAGCAATTTAAAACAGTTTTTTGGAGTTTTCTTCAATCATGAAAAAGATTCCATTGTATTTCTTCTTTGGGACTGTCTAAAGTGGAAAAAAGCAAAACAAAACCCTAAACCTAAAATTAATGTTAATGTTCTAGAATTTTCCTAGTTACCTTGCTAATTTGGTTTAGCAAAGAATTATTTTGTCAGAACAGAAAGAATATAAAGTTTGTGGTTTATCCAGTTTTTAAAGAGAGAAATGTCAAAGTGTGCATCACTAAGAACACATTATAAGGGAAAAATTGGTTCAGCCTGAAAATCAGACATTATCAACTTAAATAAATTTTTTTCCCCTGCTTTAGAAATCATGTAATTAAGAAGATTGAGACAGAAAATGAAGTCAAAGTCAATGGAATGAACAGCTGGAATGAGGAAGATGTAAACAGTGATTTTAGTTTTGTGGATCTGGAGACCATTCCAGAATGGAAACAAAATGGAATTCCACATTCGAGAGACAGCACTGCCATTTTTAATGGACACAGTCCTAGCTCTAATGGTGCCTTAAAGACACAGGATTGCTTGGTGCCCTTGGGCAATAGTGTTGCGAGCAGGCTTTCTCCAGACTCTGCCCAGGAGGAGAAGGTGGCTGAGAAGAGCACCACTGACTTCAGAGACTGCGCTCTGCAGCAGTTGCAGCAAAGCACCAGAAGTGCAGATGCTTTGCGGAGTTCACACAGAACTAACTCTTTCTCATTATCATCTTTGCACAGTAATGCTAAAATCAATGGTGCTCACCACTCCACTGTTCAGGGGCCTTCAAGCACAAAAAGCACTTCTTCAGTACCTACTCTTAGCAAGGCAGCACCTTCAGTGCCATCCAAACCTTCAGGCTGTAATTTTATCTCAGACTTTTATTCTCGTTCAAGACTGCATCACATATCAACGTGGAAGTGTGAACTGACTGAGTTTGTCAATACCCTACAAAGACAAAGTAGTGGTATCTTTCCAGGAAGGGAAAAGTTAAAAAAAATGAAAACAGGCAGGTCTGCACTTGTTGTAACTGACACAGGTAGATACTAAAATCATTTTCCTAAGAAACAGTCATGCTTGATCATTTTTTTGTCTTATGCTGTCACTGGTATTCTGATCAATACTAAGTTCTCATAATATAAAAGTCTTTAGGAATGTCAGGTTATGAAAGTTACAGTAAGTGGAAAGCTTTCTTATTAAAATATTTTTAAAAATTTGATATAGTTGTGGCTATCTGAAAAATTTCAGGTAAACAGTAATATGGTTGGAATTCTGAGCATTCATTTTTTATATAGCCCTTACCAATTGTTGAAAGTTTGAGCTGTGAAATATAACATATATATTCAGTGTTAAAATATTTTTAAAAATTTGATATAGTTGTGGCTATCTGAAAAATTTCAGGTAAACAGTAACATGGTTGGAATTCTGAGCATTCATTTTTTATATAGCCCTTACCAATTGTTGAAAGTTTGAGCTGTGAAGTATAACATATATATTCAGTGCTTAAACTCCTCCTATAAGGATAAAATTGGTTTGGTGAGCATAATTGTTAATTTCTAGAAGCTTGCATTATACTGGTTTTTAAATAATTTTGAATATGCTGTTACAATGGTAAATGTTTAGTGAGATTAAGTATTTTTACATCTAAGTAGATTGGTTAGTTGTATTTTGTTTTTTAACACTTTCCTTGTCATCAAAAATAAACCCAACAATGGCAGGCTGTAATCTGTGCCAGTCATTATAAGTTAGTATCTGATTTGAGATTTTAGTTGCTTTTTACAGATTATAGGGGTTTTTTTTAGGGGAAGAATCTCAGAGATTATCTAGTATTACCCTTTAATTTTTAGCTGTGGAAACTGAGGTACAGAGAGAAGCTCATGGTTCTGCCCTACAAAATGATAGAGCCTCTCTATGTGGGTTTTTTCTGTTATGTTTTACTGTGTTTGATGTATTACTATGTGATTTTAGTAAAAAATGCTTTTTGGTATTTATGAATTTCAGAATAACATCATAGGTATTAGGTTATCCTTACATTGTGTCGGCCTTATAACCTGAAGGTCATTTAATTTTAAAAGCTTCAAAGAACTATTATGAATTAGTTCCATGAATGGGAATAAAATGGGAAATTTTTGTAATGTATGCAACCATTTGGTAGGTTATTTGCTTTATGCATTCTGTATGACTTGAATGTTTAAAACCATTATTTCGAGTTGTTTATATTATTTTTACAAAATACTTTTATGCAACAGAATTTATTTTATAAATCATTTCTCAAAGTAATATAGGGGAAGCAAGGGAGTACACGGCTTTGGAGTTAGATAACTTAGCCTAAATCTACATCCTGGCTCTGCCACTTGTATGCTGTAGGATCATAGGCAAGTTAGCTCACCTCTCTGCGTCTCAGTTTCCTCTGCATAGGAGTGACAGGTAGTCAGTGATGTTCACCTCGTAAGGTCATGAGCTTAAGAAAGATAACGTGAACAAAGGTTCAGTGCCTTGCATATAGTGAGAACTAGGTGAATGCTGTTTCACAGTCACAATTTGGCAAATGGAGTTGTCCAAAATGTTTAGTGGGTAAATCTATCAGAGTAAAATTCCTTTATAGAGATAAGAGCTTTTTATAAGTTCAGGGTTCTTATTTCCAGGACTTGTGTGTCTTGGAGGACCAGAGAAGAAGGCCAAGGATGAAACTGATAATAAAGGAAAGCTCTGCGTGTACTTTGGATTAGGGTTAAAATAACCCTAATGGATCTCTGTGTAGTTCAGGGTGCTTCATATATGCATCAAAGTTGATTTTTAATAGAACTTAATGGCATAAGGACTAAAAATCCATTTGTATACAGATTTTTGTTTTATAGACTATTTTTGAAGCATGGTTTACTTAGAACAGCAGCATGGTAGTATGAGGGCTCTGAAATCAAACTGCCTGGGATTGAATCCCAGCTCAGGCATTTACTGGCTGTGTGATTTATGCAAGTTATTAATCTGTAAAATAGGGATATAATAAGATTACCTACCACATATAATGTGAGAATTTAAGTAAATTAATGCATGTAAACCTCTTACAACAGTGCCTGACACCTACCAAGCACTAGATAATAGTAGCTATTTTTATTGTTATTTAATCAAGTGATGTTTGTAGACAGCGTGGAATAGTGATCATCAAAAGTTGCTTAGCTCCATGTAACTAAATGTATGAAAATGACCGCTGTGTGTTTTTATAAAATAATCAGCACACAGAAATATTTTAAAATAAGGCTTTTGATAAACTATTCTAATTTGAGATTTAATTATTTGAATATAGACTAGGAAAATGTGGTATCTAAACAATTGATTTAAAATTATGTTCGGAAACTAAATTTGTATCTCTGAATTACTTTTAGAACTAAAGAAACCTAAACTTGACTTCTGTTGAGGTGGTAGAAATAATCTGCAGTAGTTCTGTATTTTTAAAGACTTCATTCTACTTATAACCATTGTTTAAATCAATTTCTAAAATTAACTAGACCTAATTTTTTTAATATAAAAAATTAGTTTGGGGTTTGAATTCTCTCTTTTTCCTTCTAGGAAATATGTCAGTTTTGAGTTCACCCAGACATCAGAGCTGTATAATGCATGTTGATATGGATTGCTTCTTTGTGTCAGTGGGTATACGAAATAGACCAGATCTCAAAGGTCTGTACTCTTGTTTACATTTTAAGAAAATTGATGTATTGTTATAAATATATATGCTGAGGGATCACAGAATCTTTTTATAAAAAATATTTATCCTGGGCCGGCCCCGTGGCGCACTGGATGGTGCGCTGCTTGGGAAGTGCAGCGGCGCTCCCGCCCGAGGGTTC